TTAAATTAGTGTGCTCGTCAAGATCTTGCAATCCCGTGTCTAAGTATCCTCATAGTACAATAAGAAAATCAGAGCTCCGTAGTTTGGGGTAGAAAATAAGTGTTTCTTAATTGCTTTTATTGGACGTTGTTAACGTCTACGTTTTAGCAGTTAAATGTTGCTTATATGCTCGCGCGTGGGAGACTTAAGCGTTTGTTTGTTTGTGGTATAATGGATGCACTTGGATTGCATTCGAGTAGTTAAACGTTTCTTGTATACTCGTGCATGGGAGGCTTAAGTGTTGTTTGTATTACAGTAAAGCAGAAACAACATTTCATTTTTGAAAGGTTTTGAATGCCCTAAGGCGAAAAATAAATTTGATTGGTTGTGATTAATTTTAGAATAGGAGAGAGGCATTAGACCACAAGCTAAGTACGACTGGAATCCGAATACTCGGGAGCTGAAAGGACAATGGTATCCTAGCCTCTCTTTTTCATCCAAAGATTTTTTGTTTATGAAATTTGTGAGGCGAGTTTAATTGTTGGTACTTAGAGGGAGACAAGCATCTAACCACAGGTTAAGTACAGTCGACAATCAGAATGCTCGGGAGCCGAAAGGACAATTCATCTCGAGCTCTCTTTTTCACCCTATGAGAATCAAATTAAACTCGTTTTATTTTTAAGTGTTTTGAATGGAAGACAAACATCAAACCACAAGCTAAGTCGACAACCCAAGTACTTGAGAAATTGTGTGACAAGTACATACACTCCCGACCTTTTTCATCCAGTTTATTGTAAAATATTCTGAAAATGGCTTGACGTTGAATCAAGTGTTTGAAGTTTGAAATGTGAAATTTGTGTGAATGAAATGGAAGACATACTTGACGTTGGATCAAGCACCCGCGTTGCGTTTGATGAAATTTGATTCGGAAAATACTTGATGTTGGATCAAGTTTATTTTTATCTTTTGAAAAAGGTTGTTTTTATCATTTTGGTTTTATCTTGTTTATCAACATACAAAAGAAAGCAGTAAAGAAAGGTAAATCCTACACTATTACATGTCCACGGGATGTGGAGAGCATTTTACCCACCATGAAAGAATGGATCATAAACCAATACACTGTCATGGAGAGTGAGAACATTTTATCCACAGTGGAGAGATGGATTATAGATCATACACGACTTAAATTCATACAACCATGTACCATAGAATGCGAGAAAATAAACTATATAAAAATAAATATAAAAAGCATTCAAGAAGTGTAAACATTCATGAATTAAAAAATAGTCAAGATAAAATGCAATAGAATTAAATTTCAATGAATTCTAATTACCTCCTAAGACTAATAATGAGTTAAGATGAACAAAGTACGTGGTTAGTTAAAAATCTAATTAGAAAGTTAATCCTAAAAATTTGATTAAATTCTAACAATTCACTGATGATCATTTTCCATAAAATATGTATAAAACAACTAAATCAATGAAATCATATCACTTATTTATTTCCTAACTAATCATTTTTTTAAAATGCATAAAAGAGCATCACAAAAATAGAATCAAAAATGGATTTAAAAACAATTAAAGAAAAATAATAAGAAGAAGCAATCAAAATAATAGAAGATAAGAGAGAAATAGGGGTGCATGCTGAATGTATTGTGTACGTAGCAAAATCAGTGGGCTCTTGGAATAACAAGCCCAATACATTGAAACAAGTTCAGAAAGGGAGGCGTGGATGTGGAACACGGGAGTAAAAAGTAACCTGATGGCCCAACGGTTCAACAGCCAAACACGTAGGGGTGACAAAGTGGGTGGCCTGTCCCGTTTAAACCCGTTCCATTTAAACTCGTCCAAAAGTAGGGTGAGTCAACTTAGACGTTCGAGTTCAAAAGTCAAATTTGCCCAATTTTTTTTTACAATTTAAGTTACAACATCATTTATAAATTTTTTAATCATTACCGAAGAAACCTATAAATTTTAGTAATGCATAGTAAAATTTTAACGAGTCTTAATGTAAATGTCATATTTTTTTAACATAAACAAACAACATAACTATAATACCAAAATCTTAAAACGAACACACTAAAACTCCAAAAATCAAAACTTTATTATCATAATGAGAAACAAATCCCTCTGTGCAAAACTTATCTTATAGCTTTAGAATCCGACTCTAACGACAACAAGTAATAGAAAATAGAAAAGAGTTGATTTTCTATGTTTTGCAATTAAGACTTTTTCTACTATGAGCGAAAATAAAAAACGAAGTAGAGACCAATTAATGTCTTCAAAATGATGTGTTTGTAGTTATATGAAAAATAAATATTAGGATTTGAAGAAATGAGAGTTGTTTTAAAAGTATGTCTACTACATACTATGTTAATATTGTTTTAATTTCAAGTAAAAATTAATAATCTTTTTAAGCAAAAAGATTGTGGACAAAACTCACTCCGCCCTATGTTCGACCCATTTTAAAAGTGAGTTAGACGGAGCAGATCAACGTAGAACACCGAATCGAAAATCTCGCTCTGGTACAGATTAAACGAACTGATCCGGCGGACCCAACTCGTTTTGCCACCCCGAACAACACGCCTAGGCCAAGGGGAAAAGAAACTCAGAAATTCTATTCACTTGCTTTATCTCACTCAAACGCGTTATTAGAGCATGAGACATGAGTTAAAAAACTAGGCCGCGTCGGAATTCGCCACTGGCGGCAGCGAAGGTCAAATCACCCTCGAATTGTGTAGTGCAAGCTTAATGTCGTACCATCCAACAATGAGGAATCAAGAGGAAATAATTTTGTTGGATGGTACGACATTAAGCTTGCACTACACATTGATGCAGGTCTTGCTGCTGATGGCAAGAAGAAAGCCAATCTAGCAATGCCGCCGCACACATTCTCTGGACTTGATCTGATTGAAAAGGGAGATGGGGCTGTCAGGCTATCATGTATCCCATGGAAGGGGATCCACTAGTTAGGAGCATTTCATAGGCAAAGGATAGGATTTGAACATTTTTCAATGAAATTGTTGTTGTTAGTAACTTTGAAAATGGTATAAATGTGTAATAGAGAAATCATGAATGTCATTTAATCTTGCTCCTTGAGTGCTTGATTGGTGAAGAGTTGCCTCTGGTCAACTGGTTGACCAGTCAACTATGGGTTAAAAAAATATCTTTTGCGTAAAGTCTTGGTTTTGTATCTTTGTACTAACTTGTAATGTAATATTTGGAGATGTAACCCTTGATGACTTTGTATAATTGTAAAATGATTAGAGAAGGTAATGGGTACCCATGAGAACGGGTACTAGTCTCCTACTACACATCCCGTTTAATAAAAATGACACCCGTACCCGCCTCATACCTGTGTGGGTATCCATGGATTTTAAAATATCCGTGAGTATTTATGGATATCCATGGATACTTTTTGTTAATTGAAATTTACTAATTTTCTATATTTTGAATAGAAAATTTACCGTTCTATTAATAGAAGATTGTGTAAAACCTTTTAATACATTTACCATATTAAATTCAAAAGCATCTTATAGGAAATATTGTTATAAGAATATAAGAAAGTTTTAATATAATACATATTAATTTATCAAAACATCAAACAAATTTATAAGTAATTTAAATATACTAATTTTAAAAGAATATTTAAGCAATTTTATTAATTATTAACGGATACGGATATCCGCGGGTATGAGTATCATTAAATCTGTATTTGTGTTCGTATTCACGGATATCCGTATCTGTTTATATTATCCATGGATACCCCCGATTAAGATATCCAACCCGTGCCTGTGACGGATTTTACCCGCAAGTACGGATCTTTTTGCCATCCTTATGAGTTTTCTCCAATTGACCTCGTGTTGATCTTTTGTAAACAAACCTGGTCCTTGAATTTGAACATGACTTTGAATATGAATTTGCAATGTTTTGAATGAATCTTGATGATTACCTTAAATCAAGCACTTGAGGAACTAGATATATGACCAATGAATCCCCGTGTACAAATTAATGGACTAATGCACAAACCAATGAGATTAGTTGAATTCAATCCACTAAGATTGACCTAATGTAAGTTGTCATCCAAAACCGAACCGATGCCCTAATGCAAACCATGTAATCCATATATACCAAGGTTCAGGAATTAGGGTTCCATGAATTTGAACCCAAAAGTGTCACCATTAGTCAATGTCCTAAGGTATGCCCTGGCTTTGAATTTCAAGGAAATTCTAACTCCTTGTTGACAATAAACATCCAAAGCCTTTGAGTCGATGTTGTTTAATGTAAATGGTAAAATGAATGTGTTATGATGCTAATGAATATACAAATAAATTACAAACCAAAAGTCAAATGAAAATGAAAAGAGGAGGACAAATTTTGAAGTATGACAAGATGTAAAAGCCTCTAAAGTATTTCCAAACCAAATTCAGATAAGAACAACTGAAATAGTTTAAAAAACTGCCAGAAGAACATAGTCCAGGTATTTTTGGGGGAAAAAACGGTTTAATCCAATTTATTAGTATCTAAGCAACAATCAGATGTATACTTTCCATCAAGGGTGTGAAAGCAAACCAACATGACTTCAATCCTATTTTTCATTGATATAGACAAACTTGACCCAAATAGCACAATTACTAGTCTGGACCAAAGTATGTTCCACACTAATGTATATTCATATGTTTTTGATACAGCAAAGCATAGGGAAAATGTGAACTGTGACAAGTTTTGATGATGAGCACCATGTAAACTTGAAATGAAAGTACATGCATAACACAATGAACCAACATCACGGTCCCAAACTTTACCAGTAAATTCACCCCTAAGATTGAATTGACTCATTGATTAACTTCTTCTCACCTGTATCCACAGCAACCGGTGCCCTTAGAAAACGTGTAATAATTATTTATGTGCCGATAAAATTATCAGTAATTTGACTTTGTGCATTGATGGATGATTCAGTGTGCACATCAAAAGTCAGAATGTTTCGCTAAGATTCATCACTCTGGAATTTGTACCGAAGCTTTAAATTTGGTGGACCTCCTGATTCACCTCATTAATTCCCTTGCTTTCCCATGGCTTAGCAGGCTTCACAATTGCAAGAATGAGATCGAGTTGTTTTTGCTGTTGTTCCTACATACACAGTCAAATACCATCAAGACAAGTCAAACTCCAAGATAACAAACGAATATTTTAGAAAATAAAATGTTCAAGAGAAAACTAGATTCATGGTCTGCAAAACTTTTTAATTCAGAATATAAAATTGTCATATCGTTGTGTGGGTGAGTAATACTGTAAATGAATCAAAATAAATATTCTAAAGCACACGAAAACTGAAGTGTTGAATTTCTAAAATTTCTGAACTTTTGCAGACCATGAATGCTACCGCCACACAATAATTTTAACCTATAAAGCCTAGTAACAAACTAGTGTCATTCAATTTTTAATAGTGTTTTGTCGTGCAGAGTTTATGTAACATTGGAGAAATGACTACCTGCATTGCTAGTAAAACTTCTTGAATTTCCTCGACCTCCTTCTGCAAAACGTCTGATTGCATGGCTAATACTGTTGCAGCCTGGGAATTCTTCTGTGCGAGAGAAGCAGTCTTCAAGAAATGAACAAATAATTAAATATTTCAGTCTTTTTCAATTCACGTTGAAACAATATATATCAACCTTCAACCAGTTACTCAAAATGTTAAGGAGCACTAGTAAATATTAAGTTAGTGTAAATCTTTTTTTTTTTTTTAATCAACAAATATGAATTACAGTATACCACATCCCCAGAGGACATTACATTATATGATCTACATCCTGGAGAGTTTTGGCTTCATGCTCCTGCAACCAGATTGTATTAATTTTTACACAGATTCACATTTCACAATTGTTGTGGCGACTCTCATGAATGGGAGTAAAATCCTTTGTATGTTTTCCGACTTTCCTTCTTTTGGGACACCTTCATAACTTCTCTGGTTTTTTTTTATCAGAATAACATTCATAGGGTTTGAAACAACCATTGTTTGACCATTCAATCATTTAAACTCTTGTTGACCAAATATTCTCTCCTCTGTTTCAGCACAAAAACTCCTGATACATCATAGTTTTCTTACATCTTTTTTCTTTTACGAAAATTTGGAAGGGTAAAATTTGTATTAATTTAAGTGACGCTAATGACCATTTTACAACTGTCCCCGAGGAGGTTTGAACCAATACCTTGAGGTTACAAGGCTAAGCTCTTACTAGTGAGCTAGCACCTCATTTCCAGCCAAAACCCGCCTTTTCTGTCAAGCCCATTGCTTTGTTCTATTCTCGTACTATGTTCTGTTTACTGTCTTCATACATCTTCTTTTCAGATTTCTCACATATCCCTGGACTCTAGTTATGAGTTCTCATACAGGTTAATTCCCTTCCTATCCTTTGTTCTCTTGCTCAGACTCCTCATTCCTGTTTTTCGTTTTTTTTTCCTGTGTTGAGTTTTCTGTTTATTTTTTTCTGACTTTTGTCATTTTTTTCTAGTGTTTTTAGCTTATAACTATGATTTATTTTTATTATCAGTTAGAATATTTATTTAAATTTGGGTAATCTTTCATTTTTGAGCATTTATATATGTCTTGTAAGTTGTATATATGATCTTCAATAATGCAGCAGGCTCTATTCCCTAAAGCAGTTTTGTGGTTAGTCATTATGTGCCAACTATCCAAGATTGAGAGCCATGCATTAATGCTTCAAGTTCCAACAGACTCATATAAGCGATTCGTTTAGAGACATAAAATCATCCATTCATGAGCTTCTACCTATAAGCTAGTATGTTTTGAGGAAAGTTGGTGCTTGATTACAACCATGGAATTGAATCGGATGATGAACCCATGAATACACACTTGGAATTCTTTGTATTTTCTAATTCACCCAAGTGTTTCTGGTTGCAAATCTAGGTTGTTTAGGTAATTTTGTAATGCATTTCATAAAGTAGCGCTACCAAAATTGCCCATGAACCTTAATCTTGTTAGCAACCTCACATTGCTAGAATATTTGACATATATTAATAAAACCCTATGACCATAATACACATTTATACTATACTTTCAAAAACAAGATTGTCAATATTATGATTATTTTAACTAGTCATTTGTAAATCCTGCAATACATCTATGATCCTTACATTGTTGCTCTACGAATGAAATCACTTATACCGTCCTATTCTATCTGGTATTCACTAGGCCTTTTATATTGAATATGTGCTTCATTCTGCGGTGACAAAAACTGATTTTAATTAAAAGTAAAACGATTTATGTTTAGATACTTGTATAAAATGTGAATTTAACAATAATTATATGCTAAAGTTATATTTGAGATTAAAAGACTTCAAAATCCTAGCTTAAAGGAAGAATCTATTATGAAGAAAAAATCAACTCTACTCAAGAACACTAGACATGTCATAATAAAATTTATGACTCTAGATTCACCTTTCTCTTCAAAGATTGAATCAAACATGCACTAATTTCCATGCAAGCTCTGAATTTGACTCAAGAATTCATCTAACACACGAGCAAATCAACAACAACAATAACCAAGTCTTTTCTCACTAAGTGGAGTCAACTACATATACATAAATTAAACCACTGCATAATGTCCTATTAAAAACCATGTTTCTATTCGACTCATTAATCTCAAGATCTTTCTTAATAGTTCCTCTTGCAGTTTTTTGAGATCTTCCTCTACTTCTACTAGCTATTTGACTACCCTCTAATCTGTTCTCTCCTTACTACAGAACTCACAGTTTTACTCTCAATGTTCAAATCACCTAAACCTAATTTCCACAATATTTTCTACTATAGGTATTATCCCTACGTTGTCACAAAATTACCACTTACTTATAAATGGCTACAAAATTACTGCTAGTTAAAAAAAAAGATAGTAATTACCTCATTTATGGGTTCCTTCAAATTCTTCCTAGTGACTTGAAACCTCATCCCCAATTTCTCAAGCTGCCTAGACAAAACCCTAATAACATTGGCAGACCTAGCCAAATCCCCTTCCAATTTCTGAATCCTCGGCAACAATGTCACCTCCGACGCCGGAACTCCACCGATCATAATATCCCTCCTTCTCCTTCTCCTAATCAACGCGCCAGTAAAAACACCAACCACCAACAACAACATACTCCACGGAGCAACTCTGTTACCTATCGCTTCATACAACTCCTTCTTCCAAACCGCAATCACGGCGACGTTAGCCGACACAATGAGCGAAGCGAGAAGGCACAGGAATTCGAGAAGCGAAAGGAAGGAGTCGATCGTGGAATTGGCTACGACATGGTTGGGGATGGAAGGTTGGGATTGGGAGCGATATGAATCGGCGTGGACGGTGAAGGAAGTAAACCTGGGGGGTATGGATGGTGGTTTGAGGTTGAGGATTGGAGTGGTGAGGTGCAAGGGGCGGAAGGGGGTGGTGAAGAGTGAATGAGTGAAAGGGAGATGAAGGTGATGAGTGAGTAACATCTTTTTTTTAAGTTGAAAGTGTTACTGTAATTTGAGAAGAAGAAGAAACATTGATTTGATTATTGGAGTATCGATATCATCGCCATATGATTTTCACCATTTTTTACTATGGAAGGGGCTTCGGTTTCGATGAATTGATCTCACTGATAACGCTAAAAACTTTGTGGCAAAAAGATATTTTAACGGTTGAGATTTTAAATCTGTGAATCTAATAGAACAATCTAAACATTCCATCTAAAAATGTCATTAAAAGAATATTCAATTAGAGTAATAAACCACATGACTTCACAAACTAAAACGCTTATACAGATAATAAGAAAATTGGTAATTGAAAAAAATAATAATAAGCACAATTGCATATATGGTTAAGTAATAACTACTACATTTATACATCAATTACACTTGTAGAAAATTATTATCAATGACAGAAGTACAACAGTTATACTGCAATATAAAAGTCATGTGAATTATCAACACATATGAAGATGGTATTACTTGATTTGTGTTCAGCAGTATTGCAATGGTTGTGAGGAAAATAGATTTTGAGCAAAACTGTTGAAGTGAGTATGTGAAATTTGGATTCATTTAGATGAAAGTGTGTTGCATCCCAAAATTTGCCCAACCTTTTTTTAATTTGGTTTATGTTTCATTTCATTTCTTTCTAACATTTGCATTGTATAGCATTTTTCATTGAACATGGGATCAAGAGATTGTGCATAGCAAGAGGAGTCTACTCAAAGGGTTGAACCTAAGTAAGGGGTTTTACTCAAGTTTGGATGGTCATCAAATCATCTAGAAGTGGGCATTGGTCTTGTGAGAGGATTGATGGATGTATGTGGGTCAGCTCCTAATTTGGAGGTCAGTTCAAGATCATCAGAGGATTGTGGGCTCATGATTATAAGTATAAGATGTTGAGAGAGCTCATTGAGTACCTTGAGGGTCATTGTGGAGCTCATCCAAGTGTTTGTGCTAAGTGTGAAAGGTTACAGTTGGAGGTGTTGCATCTAGGGTTTTCATCTGGCTAATCCTAAGTCAACTGTGAAATTGGAGGAGATTAAAACTCATTTCAAAGTCTCCATGGTCATGGAATGCTGTGTTAAGATATATGGGACATCATTTCAAGTTCAATTCATCAAGGATCAAGTGTGTGAGAAGTTACTAAATTAGGGTTCTCAGGGTAAAATCCCATATTTATTGCCTAACTTCAAGACCACCTATCTCAAGATACAAGTTTCATCTCAAATTTCGACCAACATGGAACTTGTAGAGCATGTTCTTAGCTTTCTTTTGAGTACTAGAATTCCTTGATTGGATTTATAAAACTCAAGTTATGATCCAGACAAGTTACAGGTCATCAGATGGATGTGATTTTAGTCAACAAAAGTCAACCAACTTCCAAGCCATTTTTGATCCAGAGGTATGTTTCTCCTCAACTTTTGGCCAACATGAAAGTTGTAGGTCTTGATCTTAGCTTTCCAAAAAGTATTATAAGTCTTTCATCTGATTTGTAGAACTCAAGTTATGAGGTTTGCAAGTCAGGGGTATTTTGGGAAAGTGAGATTACAGGTCATAAAATTATAGGTCCATTTCACCAACTTACACACTTCAAATGAAGACTTTTACAACATAAAACTTGCTCCAAATGGTGTTATTTGTTTAGCCAAGCGTTGAGAAATCATGGATTAGGCTTGGAATGAAGAATTGATGTGTGAATTTTCATGGAAGAAAGCTTAAAAGGGCAAAATGGGAATTAATTCATTTTTGATCAATTTTGCGCAAATGAGTACATATTTTGAGTGCAAATCATGTTTTAAACACATTGGCAATTTTAGAATTTGAGTTTGAGGTGTTTTAGTGAGCCACTTTCAAGGTTACTTCATTATGAAGTTACACAATAAACATCAACCAGTAAGATTAAACAAGGCTTTAATCCTAGCCATTCACACTCCATGTGGTACCAGCAAGCATTTTGAAGCAATTTGGAGCCAAATTGGTGAGAATTTCGTGTACATGAGTGAGCTTCAAATTCAATTCCTTGGATTTTCAATTGGTCTGTTAGAGGCTGAGATTGGGCTTAATTCTTATCAAGATCCATCACATATAAGATTTTGATCATTCACAAATCATCAGAACAGAGAATTGGAGGCAAATTGATCAAGAACAACTTTCAAAAAGTGGTGGAAACTCAAAATTCGAATTTGGAGAATTAGCAAGTTTCAAGCCAAATTATGAATTGCAAAAGCTCTATTGAAGTTTATTGAACGATTCTGGACATTTTTCTGCAAGCTTAAGCTCCAATTGAAGGCTCAGTGAAAGTTTTCCACTAGGTAATTACAAATCAACCTTACACTCTGGATATGCATTGATTCACTGTCATTTTTGCATATTTGAGACGTAAAAACAATGTAGATCATTAATATATAAAACAAACTGGCATTTGTGATGGTTGTTGGTGGATGCTCAAAAATGTTTGGATCTGTTTTGGCTTGTTCTTGCGTGTTTTGGCTTGTTTTTTGCTTGATCTGTAACCTACATAACTTCTAGATGATTTTTAAACAAAATTGGATGAGTTTTGGTGAACTTTGGATTTTGATGCATAAACTTAATGGCTTCGGGTTGCTCTCATGTTGCATGATTATTGATTTTTGAGGCTGGATATGAGATCCTCGTGATCTCTAGATGAATTTTGATATAAAATTCGTGCAAAATGGTTGAGAATTGATGTTACATGTTGTTGTTGTGCTGCGCGCGGTGGAGGTTGGTCGGAGAAGACGATGAACAGTGTCTCCGGCCGGTGGTCTGGTTTTAGGGTTTTGGAGGTAGGAGATGATGATGTGTCATGACCACACGCGCACGATCTGCATACTTTTCTTTCCAACGAATGTGATTAAGACTCATGGTAGTCTTACTTTGACCGTGTACCACGTGATAGCATTTGAATTTTCATTAATGTGGTGGCACCTTTGTGGACACTTGATTGCTTACTTTTTAATCATGCGTATCTGATTGAGTTTCCATGATAGTCCGCGTTTGACTCACCACACCTGATTGCCAGATTTTTGTTTTGTTTTGAGATTTCCTGACTGGGCCTTAGGTTCGTGCGCTATCCACACCTCCAGTCTGGGCCCAATCCTTTTTTTAACTGCATTTGATTGCTATTTGCCACACATGTTTTGTTATTTTCTTTTATTTTCTTTTGATTTTTATTTTATTTTCTGTTTACAATTTAAATCAAATAAAATAGCTCCAATACTTTAAAAATTCACCAAAAATCTTTTTTATATACTTTGAGATGTCTAATATTTTTTAGATATTTTTATTTTATTTTTCAGTTTTATTTTCAATTTAAAAAAGAATTAAATATTGGAGTTGTTTTAATTGAATTGAATTGTAACTTTGTTTACTCTTGCATTTATTTCTCTTCCTCCTTTTTGATCCAATGATTGAAAATGGATCCTCATCTCAATGATGAGTTGATCAATTTTTGAGGACCATTTTGCCCCTGGTTGTTGACTTTTGGGTTGACTTTTGTGGCTTTTCTTTGTGCCTTTGTTTCTCTCATTTCAAAGTGGTACATCTAAATGAATCCTTTCTTTTGATGGTGCTTTGAGGGAATATTTGTCTTGATCTTTTGGCCTCTGGTTGCCAACATATTTAGCTTCTTTGTGTATTTTATTTGGTTTTTTTTAGCCTTTTTCCTATTTTTGAAGTGACTTGCAAGTTAGGTCATTTCATAGGACAGCTCACACAAGTGCATGACCTAGTTTGAATTGGAAATGACCTTTGTGGATCCAATAAGCTCTCAACTATTTTTGTTTCACATTTTAGATATGTTGAGCTTGCTGTATGTTCATTTTTAGGTCAAAATGATGTTCATTTCTTGTTGGTTGATGCATTTCTCATTGAGCTTTTAACTTGAATTCCTAAGTGGTGTGTGCTTGCCTCCTTTGTGCTCTTGCTTGCATTTCTTCTTGATTTGTTTTGATATTGCTTTTGAGCTTTCTTCTCTTCATCTCCCTTCTGTCCAATGACCTTGGAGTGTCATTTAAGGTAGCTTGGTCCCTCCTTAGGAGGAACTTGAAGCTTACCTAAAGTGATGAATCCATGAGGACTTTTACTTTATGTTGTTGTCATTTGTTTGTTTGCTTTTGATGCATCTTTCCTCTTTTCTTTTCTTGCATTTCCATATGCATGCTTGGTTGATATGAGCTTGTGGTGGCTACTGCTCCACACTATTTTCCTCCCATTATCATTCTACTTGTCCATTCTATGTGTGCATCCTTTCATTTGCATATGCATTCTTCTTCTTCTTCTTCTTCTTCTTCTTTTGCTTTTCTTTGCCATGCTCCCCATAAGTTTTCTAACCTCTTGAGGTTATGATAGACATTAAGGTTCTAAACATGCATGATAACATTAGGTAGTTCCCTTTTTTCAAACTCAACTTTAGGTCCACTTTGCATGATAACTTCTAGGATTGATTAGTCTCCCATTAGTGTGCCTTCTTCTCTTTTCATCTTCAAACAAGTTTAACATACTTAATAAGGATGATGAATGTTGTATCATGAGCCTTATATTTGGGAAATGGTGATTGAGGGGCCACCTCTCAATTGTCTAGAGTTTTTAGTATACGTCCTTAGGACAATATGCGACGCATTCGATCCTAGGTTTTAGACTTTGTTACAACATACATTATAAACACTCAAGTTCAAAACACTTCTTCTCTAAAAACACAAAAATAGTTTAAACCTTTTTCACCCTTTGGGGTTCTTAATTAGAAAAATCATTTTCATAAACAGGAGTGTCGTTAACTCTTAGTTCTACCGCAAACGGTAACGCCTAAGTCTCCAATGGTCGAGCTGCATACACCAACTGCTTAGAACTATCTGTTAACCCTACTCGGGCATAAAAACTTTTGAACCAACCTGTGGTCCTTTTAGCTCGAACTACGTTTGCTCTGATCTTTCATATCAGATGAAAGTACGTAGGCACGAGACGCGATG